TAGAGCTCTGTGCTTTCTTTAGCACCCACTCCTATTTGCATAGGTCTTACTGAAGGCGTGGTCTCTCTCTCTCTGGTCTCCACTTCTCTCTTCCTTCCTCACCTCCCACTAATTCTTCAGCCACCTCTCTGTTGATTGCTTTTGTCAAGATCACCGATGGCTCCTTGTTATTTAATCCAAAGAATACCTTGGATGATGATTGGTTTTCTTATAGCATTTGATATCACCGGTTCCATTTTCCTTAGCTTCTTTGCACCATTTCTCCTATTTCTCCCAGAGAATTTTTTCTTCTTCTGTCCCTTTCCAAATGTTATTTCTCTGGGAATCAATCCTAGGCTAACTTTTCTTCTTACATGTACAGGCATACCTTGGGATAAGGGGGGTTCCATTGTAGACCACCGCAATAAAGCGAGTTTTTCAATAAAGCGAGTTATAATCTTTATGTTGGTGTAAAGCAAGTAATATGTGCAAAGCACAATACAGCGAGGTATGCATACTCTAGTCCTGATGGATATCATCTGCCCCATGGCCTCAATTCCATGCAATGGGTAAAATTCCCCATCCACTTCTTCAGTCCAGTTCTTAAGAAGGCAGGCTTATGTCCTAAATAAACCTAATTCCTCTCTGTTTCTCCTTCTAAGTTTCAATTTTTAGCGAGGCAGTCCATCATTCACTGTGCAAGACAGAAAACTTCCTAACTTCTTCCTCTCTAATGTTTCCCCTCTCCATTAAATAAACTAACAAGTTGCCCTAACCCATTTGGCTCAGTAGATTGAGTGTTGGCCTGGGGACTCAAGAGTGCCAGGTTCAATTCTGGTCAAGGACATGTACCTTGGTTGTGGGCACATCCCCAGTTGGGGGTGTGCAGGAGGCAGCTGATTGATGTTTCTCTTTTATCAATGTTTCTAATTCTCTCTCTCCCTTCCTCTCTGTAAAAAATCAATAATAGATATATATTAAAGAATTATATATATAAAAAAGCTGAAACTGGTTTGGCTCAGTGGATGGAGCATCGGCCTGGAGACTCAAGGGTCCCAGGTTCGATTCTGGTCAAGGACATGTACCTTGGTTGTGGTCACATCCCCACTGGGAGGTGTGCAGGAGGCAGTTGATCGATGTTTCTCTCTCATCGATGTTTCTAGCTCTCTATCCCTCTCTCTTCCTCTCTGTAAAAAAAACAATAGAATTGTAGGTTTCTCTTCTACAACCCGAGTGCAAAGAGTTCCAATGCAGGGTTCGGGTTCTGGAGAAGGGCTGCACACAAATGAAGAGACTTGAGACTTGAAGAAATTCAACTTGGCGATATGGGGGGCCAGGCAGTAGTCCAACTCTAGTGGGAGAACTAACCCTGCTCTGGCCCTGCCATCCCCTTTTATTGAGGCTTTGGGGAAAACATCTTAGGCAACATAAACAGAAATTTACATGGATCCCTTAGGCAGGAAATAACAGAAACTTACACAGGACAAACAAGGAGGAGGTTGCTTCAGCTAACAATATCTCAACTAAAAGTTAGAGCAATTAAAGTTGTTGACCAGCCTTCCTGGCTTCCTGTCAACATCTCTGTTAGAGTGAAACTTATTTGTTTTTCAGCATAAATATATTTAAAAAAATAAAATAACAAGTTTATTCTATTTATTTTATTTTCTACATACATTTTAAATTCATGTCTTCTCTTTACTTCTTACCAGTAGCTCTCCCCTTGCCTTAGTTCAGGAAATCAGCAATTTGATCTCAATAACTCTCTCTGGTCTTTCCCCTATACCAATCCACCTTCCATATCACTTGAGAGATTTTTCTGATCACTGCATTTCTCTGATCAAAAGCCCCATCCTTACAAGCCTTCACAATCTGGCCCTTCTCCCCTCTACAACCTCAGTTCCTAGGACTCCCAACCTTGCTTTGGTTATTTAGGGTCACACTTAATTTCTTTCAATTTTTAAAATATACTTTGCTTTTTAACCTCTGGATTCTGTGTTGGTTTCTTTGGCTTTTTTTTTTTTTTTTTTTTTTGGCCTGGAAAATTCCTACTACCCCTCTGGTGAATTTCTGCTTCAGTTCTGGGTCTAAAATTGAGAGCACTGCCTCTTGGATGCTTCCCTTAATGTCCTAAGCCTGGCAGAGGTGCTGCTCTCATGGCCTCTGCCCCATTGTCACATGAGCAAGAGCAAGAGCAAGAGCCATCCTGTGTCATAATTGCCTGGGTCTTTGCATTCCCATTAGGTTGCCACTTCTGTGAGGACAGGAGCATATGTTTTGTGTTGAAATTGTATCTCCAGAGACTCACGCAACGATTGATGCAGAGCTGGTATGCAGTATATATTTGTGGAATAAATGAATAAGCCTCCAAGTAAACTGTAAACCTTTCGTATGACACAGCTTCAAAATGCCTTACTCTTCTCTGCAATTTCTTCCTCACTAGGCCAGTTCCAAAAAGCAAATAAAACTTTGTTGCTGACAAAGCAACATGTGCATCTCAAAGGGAGAGAAACTTTCCAGAGGTTCTGAGAGTTAGCATATGGTAATTGTCAAATCCCAGGGTATCTTTTAATCGAACCTTCGCAGTGGTTCACTTAGCTTGTACTCAGGGCTTAAATTGAGTAGACCCTCATTACGGATGCCTTAGTGCAAATGGAGAGAGTGAGAAATACAGCTTTCTGTGACATGGAGGCATCGGGGAAAGGGAGCAATCTGGTCTGTGGGCCCTTCAGTCTGTGTGTCTGACTGTACCAGCTCCTGATACAGGAGGTCATGAGAAGGGCAGCCACAGCCACCAAAGTGGCCGGGATTGCCCTTTTCAATCCCATTCTGGGTTTTGTACTCCACAGGGATTTACTGTGTGCTTCCCTCCTTCTCTCTGAGCTTCATCTTCAATGGCTTTCTCTTCAATGCCAGCCTCAGAAGCAACCTGGTTTCCTTTTTGTTGTTGTGTGTGTTTTTTTTAAATATATTTTTTTAAATTGATTTCAGAGAGTAAGGGAGAGGGAGAGAGCGATAGAAACATCAATGATGAGAGTCATTGATTGGCTGCCTCCTGCACAACTCCTCCTGGGGATTGAGCTCACAACCCGGGCATGTGCCCTTGACCATAATCGGGCCCCCAGAATCCTTCAGTCTTCAGGCCGATGCCCTGTCCATTGAACCAAACCAGCTAGGGCAGGAACAACCTGGTTTTAAAGAGATTTCCTCCCGAGAAGCAAACCCTCCTGAGGGAAAGACCTGGCCTGGCTGCCAATGCTTTCCTGGGCCCCTCTTTACCGATCCCTGGTCACTCACTCACTCTGTGCAGGCCACCCCAGTGCTTTCCTTCTGAGGGCTGTGACCAGGTGGGGCAAGCAGGTTTCTGGAGACAGAACTGGAGAATCACCCCCTCGCAGAGGCCAGCCCTGCACTTGCTCAACCTGAGCTCCTCCCCTGACTCATCCCTCGCTCTCTGCCTGCAAGGCCTGCCCGCTCAGCCGTCATGCCTCTTTGCCTCTGCGGCTCCTAATCCTCCAGCCCCAGCTCAGGTGCTGTCTTCTCAGTGAAGCCCTTGCTAAACCAGCAGTCCTTTCCCGTTCCCAGCAAGAGTCATCTCACCCTTCCCCAGATTCCTAGAGGCTTTACTTATACCTCTCTGTTTACCTTGTTTACTTCCTAGGCTTGCCTTTTTATATCTATGTTAAGCTATGACTTCTTAAGGATAGTCTTTTTCCTCAGTCATGACCTAGCACAGGGTTTGGCATGGTGGCAGGATTCACAAGCCAGTGAGGTGAGTGGAGCCATCAAGGGGAAAAGAGAAAAGAGATAGAATGTTAATTGCCCTGGGGTTGGGGGGGTGGGGTGGTCTGACATGGGCCCTGGGGCCAGTGTGCTTGGATTTGATCTCTGGCTCTGCCACTTCCTGGTGTGAGAGCATGAACATATATCGTCTGTCTATGCTTCCATTTCTTTATCTTTAACGTGGGATCAATAATGGCACCCCAACATAGGGCTGCTGTGAAATTTAAACGAGACTTAGACTCTTGTAAAGGACTTAGCACAACAAGGCAACCAGGCAACATCTTAGTCAAAAAACAACAGGATTCAGAATAAAAAGGGTCTAGGGAAGATACATCCATGGAAAATGCAGGTGTACACACTAAGGGGAAGCCCATTTGTGACTGATGTCACAAAGTTAAATCATCAATGATGGAAAAGAGAAGCAATGACCTCATACTCCCTGGAGAACCCAGGTGACTCCTTTTTTTGAAAAGACAAATGTTATCTCTATAATTCAGTAAAAGAGTAGCTTGGACAAGAAGATGGTAAGAGAGGCTTCCCAAAAAAGACACGGAGGAAGGCCAAATGAGCTGGGGGGGGGGGGGGGGGGGGGATAATAAGACAGTTGTTTATGCCCTGCTCTAATAGCTGCTGATGTTAAGGAGGATGGGAGCATAATGTGAAGGCAAAGTCATGTTTTGCTGCCATCTACAGTCAAAGTGCAATTTTTGAAGTTGCTACACACACACACACACACACACACACACACACACAGAAAGAACATTTTGACAAAATGAGTGACAATATAAATAGTTTGGTTTAAGTCCTAGAAATGAAGATAATTTGGGCATGTTACTTTAGTATTTTATTTAATATTTTTTCTAAAAGCATATATATTTAATAAGTAACATCGCCTTTTAAAAATCTGAAATTGTTAAAACTCATCAGAAGACTCAAATGAGCTGTAGATGTGGCAGCCAACAGGCAATCTGAGAGTCAAAACAATTATTTCAATGAGGAAAGAGATGGATTGGATTTGACCCCATGTTTGCCTGCCCTGTGACCTGTAGTTTCTCCTGCTATTATTAGAATTATTAGTAAAGTGCATTATCCACAAATGTCTTTGATTGTTTGGATATGAAGAATCAACCCAAAGCAACTGAAAATAAAACGTGAGGAGCCTTCAGCCTCGATGCTTTTATCCTACAATGTCCAAGGTTATGGTGATGTTTTCCCAACTTCTCTGTGCATTGCTTTTAAAGGGTTAACTACAGACAACAATTATTGGAGAAGCGTTTGATGGAGAAAAAAGAGATGGCTCTTCAAGAAGCACAGGAAGAAGAAGAAAGGGAGAGGCGGCTTGAAGCCCTTAGGAAACAGGTGTTTTTAATTTGAAATGTTCATGGGTGGTTTAAAAGAATGTGGCTAAGTGCTCCTAATAACATTATTCCTAGGGCTTAGTTTAGGAGTTCTGCTGTATAAAATGTAACTTGTCCCAATTGAGACACTGATCTTCATTCCGGGGAGCAATTAGGTTTATGTTGAACCATTTCCAGTTTCTTCGTATATTAAAAGAACTTTATCAGCACCCTTTAAAAAGCTCTCCCAAGATTTAAATGCGTCCACATTACCTCCAGTTTAATAGCTGAATAGTATCCATTTACAGCAGTGAAAATCTGCATCTAGTGCAAAGACTTTACTCTCCTCAAAAAAATGGGTGGTGCTTAAACGAGATAATCTTCTTTGGGGTAGGAACCTCTGTTTGGATATATCGAATAATAAATAAACATGTTAAAAAGTACTTTTAAAAAATATAACCTCACTTTTTTTTTGTGGAGAAATAAAAGTCTCCCATTGCTTTACCTAATAAAAGTAGGCAAAAGTTTAGAAAGTAGATAGTACTTGACAAGATCAGAAATTTAAGAACTTGGGAAATGTGATAAAATATTTTTATTTGGTAATTTTTCAGAGTTTTCTAGCCTGGGAATGGTTAGCTTCACTCAAAAGCTCTGAAGTCTTCACTGGCACCATTTCCCAGCTGATAGGGAATGCTGGGTTTCTGTTCAGTGCCAGTGGAGGCAACATAGAATTGGATAGAAACTTGGCCTCTGGTGTCCTTCAAACCTGGTACAACCTGGTTTGCTACTCACTGGCAGAAGAAACTTAGTCCTTTTACCTAACCCCTGTTGCTTTATTTCCCCCTCTGAAAAATGGGAATAACAATATTAGTCCCTGCCTTGTAGGTTAGTAGTAATGTCTGTTTACATTTTTTGAATATTTACTAAGTATAAAGTCCTCTTATAAACACCCTGGGGTTTTAAATCATTTAATCTCTACAAAACCCTATCCTATAGGTGTTATTAATATTCCTGTTTTACAGAAGGGAAAACCAAGGAGACACAGAGGTTCCCGAGAGTTACACCACTAGTAAAGATCAGGCTGAATTCAAATCAAGGAAGTCTAGTTAGGTGAGGTGGTATAGAGGAGGGATAAGCTCATCTCATCTTCTGTGATAAAATAATTAGAGAAATTCAAAGCATAGGAATATAAGTCCTGGTCTTGCTAGATTCAACAAAATTTAAATTATTCAGTCATGAGCAAATAAGTATATGCCATAACTTTCTGGGGACAAAACTTAGTGTCACTATTACTAAACACATGCTTGTTCATAATAGAACTTTGACAACTATGGAATCCATATGATTAGAATTGTTTCCATCTGTGAATCCTTGGAAAGAGGAAATATCTGTGCCTATTATCTATTTGTAAATCGTGTTCAGAACTATAATGTAAGATTTTGATCAGCAAACCTATAATAATGAAAGAATGTTCAATTCCCAGTTATGTCATTATAGTTCATAAATGTATTAAAATGACATTTTAATGATAATTATGTTTTTCTCTCAATTTTTGTATTTTTAAAGACTTTTAAAAATAGATTTTTAGAGCAAGATGAAGGTGGAGAGGGAGAGAGAGAGAGAGAGAGAGAGAGAGAGAGAGAGAGAGAGAGAAAGAGAGAGAGAGATGTGAAAGGGAAATGTTGATTGGTTGCCTCCTGCACACTCCTACTGGGATTGAGCCTGCATCCTAAATATGTGCCTTAACTGGGAATTGAACTACAACCATTTGGTGCATGGGATAATGCTCAGCCATCTGAGCCACACCAGGCAGGGCTTTAATGCTAATTCTTGATCATAGGAGTTAACAGACAGGTGTTACTAATGGTGCATATGATTTACAAAATTAGTGGCTTCGTTTAATCAGGACACAGGTTTGAATTATTTCAATTATAATAAAGAACAAGGGCACTTGGGTTAAAGTTTTTCAGCAGAAGTGGGAGCACTGGTTTATAATGGCCCTTGGAAATCTAGTTGCTGGTACAATGGAAATTCACACCTGGTCCTATAATGCCAACACATTCAACTTTACCCATGAATAATATGCTCTAGATTCAGCTTAATCAAATCAGGCAATGGAGTAAGCCAAGCTTTCCACCTGCCCTTGCTGGCCTAGGACTCCACTCAAGGCTACAAAGTTTCAATTATATAAGGTAAACAAATTCAAACAGAAATGGCTGCTGCCACAGAGCAAGCAGAAGGCTTGGCTCCGCTCCAGGCCACAAAGTTTCAATTGTAGAAGATAAATAAACCCCAGATACCAGGGCCTTTGCTGCTTGGGTTGCCAGGGGGTGTGGCCAGCCTGCAAACCACTGTATGATTAGAATTGTTTCCATCTGTGAACCCTTGGAAAGACCCTTGCTCAGGTCGCCCCACACCCCAAGGGAACCCTCACCCTGATCTGGGACCCAGGCCTGCAGTGAAGAGCAGTTGGGGGGGACCAGGCCTGCAGGGGAAGGCTGTTAAGGGTGACCAGGCCTGCAGGGGACAACAGTTAGGGCAAACAAGTGGCAGGGGAGCAGTTAAGTGTCAAACAGGCTGGTATGGGAGTGGTTAGGGGGTGATCAGGCTGGTAGGCAGAAGTGGTTAGGGGCAATCAGGAAGGCAGGCAGGTGAGCATTTGGGAGCCAGCAGTCCTGGATTGTGAGAGGGCAGTTGGACATCCCTTGAGAGGTCCCAGATTGGAGAGGGTGCAGGCTGGGCTGAGGGACACCCCTCTCCCCACATGCATGAATTTCAAGCACCATGCCTCTAGTATCGAATAGTAACTAAACAATGATATATCACAGCCTTTTAATATTATCTTTTGTTTTTAAACTACCAACTCCTTTGTGGATCTCTACGACTGGCTTGGTTCAATATTCTTTCTACTCTCCCCTCTTAGGATTTTATCTTTAATAACATTCCTGAACTGTAATGGACATGAAACATTAATAATATTGCCTAGAGCATTTAACCTGTATCGTGTTCCAAGTTGCTATGCTTTCTCTTCTGTTAGGTTGCTATTGTTGCTCAATTTGATCCTGTTAGAATGATGTCAGATACAATGGCATCGAAAGCAAAGATGGGTATTGGAATTGAGGAAGAATTTTTTCTTCAAAAGCCACTCTTCACATTAAATACATACAACGAACAGCAGGTAATTATGGGAATTATGTTTGATACAAAAGCTATGATGATTATATGAATTGTAGAAGTATGCTTTGCATTACAAAGAATTTTCAACACTTATATTTGAATACTACTACACATATCAACACAATTTTTACTTCTAAATGTTAGCACATAGTTACTGCACAACTGTTAATATTATAATATAGTTGGTAGGTGGTCATAGAAAAAGCAGTTTATCTGGAGATGTTATGAATCTGTCATTGAAAATTATTTTTTAAACTTAAAAATAATTTTATGAAATCATACTTTAAAGTTGCGTTTATACTTAATTTGTTGGTGAATATTGCTCTATCATATTCAGAATTTGTTTAAATTCATACCATAATCCTTTTGAAAGCTGATGATACTTGATTAAATAAAGCAGAGGGAAGTTTTCAGAAATTAAAATGAGCAGAAGATAATTCATGATAGTTACTGATACAACATTTCCTGTGAAAACAATTATTAAGGGGTAATTTAACCATTTTTAGGAAGGGAGGACAGATGAATGAATGTGTATTCCTGAAATTAAAGGAGAAAGTAGTTAATTTTGCAAATCTAAAGAAACCTGCTAAATGCTTATTTAATTATTTAAAAGGCAGGAAACTTCATCCATTTACCCACTGCCAAATAAATCAAGTGTGCCTGTAGTATGTGCTGCATACTTTGCTAGGGATTTAAAAAATGTACAATTAATTTATTAATTAGACACTTATTGACGGAAAAGATACTACACCTGGCACTGAGCCAGGTGCTGTCCTGAACAGCACAGACATGTCCTGTGTGGAAGTGGGGAGCTGGGGAGCTGGGCTGGGAGGACAGTAACATGCATGGGAATAATGCCACTAAGCTGAAGACACCTCCATAATGGAGGTCTAAGGGCCACAGCCATCAGGGGAAGGGAATGGCGGGGGAAATCAGAGAAAGTGTCAAAGAGAAAACTTAAACTGTTTCTTAGTTGAGGACATAGCAGGAGAAACAAAATTCATTCTAGTTGATTTAAGCTAAAAACAAACAAAAATAGATTAGTGGGAGGAAGTGGGTGTAGGGTAAGGGATAAATTATTGAGTCAAGGGAGTCTTCAGAAGCCACAGTGGGAGGGCAGCGGGGGCTGGCAAAGAATTGAAGTCAGAAGCTGGAAATCTCTCTGCCATTTGGGCTATGTAGAAGTGGGTGGAAAGAGGCCCTTACTGCTGTGTCTTCAATGGAAAGTACTGGGCAAGGTGGTGCTGGGAGATGAGACTGGGAACATAGGTTAGGGTCAGACTGTGAAAAGTCCTAGGGTCTTGCTTGCATTTCACCTTTATCCTGAGCAAAGGTGAGACTTTGAAGCAGCTGAAATACATATGGAATTTATGTTTTAGCAACATGTCCTGAGTGGAAAATTAGTGAGGCTGTGAGTTGGGGGCTGGAGGTCATGTAGGGTCAAGTGGCACCCTCACAGAAGTGGGGGAGGGGCAGGAATGGCTCTGGCTGAGAGGAAGAGGGAGGAGGAAAGAGAAAGAAGGAGGGATGATGAAAATGAGAATAATTTAAAACCAGACAGTTTGTTCCACTATTTACTAACTGTGTGAAGTTGTGTACACTATTTAACATCTTCCTATCTTGTTTCCTTCATCTGTAAAACAATAATTTGACCTCTAAGTTGGCATGTTCCTTCCTTTCATGCTCAATCTTTCCTCCCCCCCCATCTGCTTTAGAAAAGAGTAAATTGGACTTTAGCTCAGGTGCTCCTCCTTACCTGAGACCATGCTAGTCTCACCAGCACAAAGAGATGTATTACTTATGGGTATCTATCACATGTTGCCACAAACTGTAGTTATCTGAATATAATCTTACTAGAGTCCCAGCGTATGAAACTTGTGCACTGCGGGGGGAGGGGTTTTTCCCCACAGCCCACCCTGCACCCTCTCACAATCCGGGACTGCTGGCTCCCAACCAATCGCCTGCCTGCCAACCTGATCACCCCATAACCACTCCCCTGCCAGCCTGATTGATGCCTAATTGCTCCCCTGCAAGTTTGATTGCCCCAACTGCCCTCCCCTGCCAACCTGGTCGCCTCCAACTGCCCTCCTCTACTGGCCTGATTGCCCATAACTACCCTCACCTGCTGGCCATCTTCTGGTGGCCTTCTTTGACCACAATGGGGTGGTCATCTTGTGCAAGGGCATGAGGGTCAATTTCATATTACCTCTTTATTATATAGGATTACCCCTAAATAATATAGGCTTATATAGGATTACCCAACAACTTACTATCCAATCTTCTAGGGCAAGGGTAGGGAACATCTGGCCTGAGGGCCCTATAAGGCCCCCAAAATCATTTGGTCTGGCCCTGCCAAGGCATTTGGAGTGAATTAATGAAGTGTTTGACCAAATATAGCAAGCTAATTTTTAAGCTGATAATCTTGTAGGGCCCTCAAATGATGGAATAAATATCAAATGGCCCTCAGCAGAAAAAAGGTTCCCCACTCCTGCTCTAGGAAGACTTTAAATTCATGTAAAATGCTTCCTTGGCTGAAATCCACATGTGGTTACCTTCTTATCATTGCAAACTGCACCATTGACACTTAATATTCACAGAAGGAGGAATAAAGTCCAATCAGCTATAAGTGAACACAGAAATCGAACTACTCGTATGTCTAGTCCCACTTAGAATCAGATAGATGGAAGCATTTTCTAGTTCTGCTTGAAATAGAAATCTGGCTTGGGAAGAAGGTTCTATTGATTTTTGTTTTTCAGGTAGTAGCCATGTGCTTAAACTTAATTTACATATTGCCAAGTGATGGAGAAATTAAAATGTCTTATTTAAAGGCAGATGCAGAAGGTTGTGGTTTAGATTTATTTTATTTTAATCAGTGATTCTCTATATTTGCATATTCCAGCCATCAATAAATAATGAATCAATGACATTATTGAAAGTAAGCTTTTTTCATCTCATCTTTTAATAATTCTAATGTTTTGTATTTTGACTCATCTACTATGCAACAGTGTATGTACCTTATGTTGGACACCAATGATTCACTGGAAAGTGGCATTGTCAAAAAGGTTTGGATGTTTTCAGTAAAAATAACCATGATATAGTCGCTGTATGCACAAAATTTACTGTCATCTAGTCCCAAGGTTGGCAAAATGCGGCTCTCCAGCCACAAGTGGCTCTTTGGCCCCTTGAGTGTGGCTCTTCCACAAAATACCATGGCTGAGCGAGTCTATTTTGAAGAAATGGTGTTAAAAGAAGTTTAAGTTTAAAAAATTTGGCTCTCAAAAGAAATTTCAATTGTACTGTTGATAATTGGCTCTGTTGACTAATGAGTTTGCTGACCACCCATCTAGTCATTTATCTAGCAAAAACAAATTATGCAGCTTGGGGAAATATGGCACTAAACAATTTACTGTAGTTCAATGAATTGCTATTTATTTACCTTGTACTTTATTTCTACAGATAATTTCTGATCCTAGACTTCGTATTGAGTTAGCACTTCGAGAAGCTGGACTTCATAAAACCTTTTATGCCAAAGAGATATTACCAAAAATCAGTCCTCAAAAACCACCAAGAAAGGATATGGAATCTACCGTATTTAAAACCTAGAGTTCATCTTCAAATCCTATTAAATGTAAACAAAAATTTTCTCTGAATACATTTATATGGATAACAATGATTACTGCTTTCTAAAATTTAAAAAAATGTTGACATAGAATCATAGCATCTATTAAAACAGCCTTGCTTTTTTAAAAAAATGATTCTTAGAATTTTATGCACTATTTCCAATATCTTTGTTTCTTTAATGGTACTAAGTTCTCCAGCACCATGGAACTTAATTATGACACATTTGGTACATATATTAGCATTTACTAAACTGCAATTTGAAAGTTGCCTTTTCCCATGAAAAGAGATCAAAATAACCATTTGCGAGAATTGTAATTTATGTTACTGCTACCTGTTAACAATCATTTCTGCTTGCTATTTTCAGAATTTAATTTTTTAATCATGGAAGCTTCATTACCATTAATACTTCTATTGTTTCTTGATTATTATAATAGAAGACTCAACCTTTCTCTAAATTTAGAAACCAATTTGGTATACCATGTTTACTGCAAACCAATCATCCAAGACAATCTCATTTTGCAAATTAGCCCATAAGAATAAATTAGAAATTAGAAATAGCATTTCAGACATCAGAATATCTATTTTGGTTAGGGAAAAAATGTGTATGGATGTTTGGAAGGAATATTTTAACATTGATAATATTTAGAATGCTATCAAAAGTTTCACTATCGCCAAAACCGGTTTGGCTCAGTGGATAGAGTGTTGGCCTGTGGACTGAAAAGTCCCAGGTTTGATTCCGGTCAAGGGCATGTACAGTGGTTGCAGGCACATCCCCAATAGGGTGTGTGCAAGAAGCAGCTGGTCGATGTTTCTCTCTCATCGATGTTTCTTGCTCTCTATCCCTCTGCCTTTCTCTCTGTAAAAAAATCAATAAGATATATTGAAAAAGTTTCACTATCTATTAAATATCTAGATGATTTTATAGAAAGACAATGTTTCAAATATAAGTCAAGAATAAGTTTTTTCTTTTTACTATTGCTAAAGAACCACTCAGCCGAAACTGGTTTGGCTCAGTGGATAGAGCGTCAGCCTGTGGACTGAAAGGTCCCAGGTTTGATTCTGGTCAAGGGCATGTACCTTGGTTGTGGGCACATCCCCAGTAGGGGATGTGCAAGAGGCAGCTGATCGATGATTCTCTCTCATGGATGTTTCTAGCTCTCTATCCCTCTCTCTTCCTCTCTGTAAAAAATCAATAAAATATATTAAAAAAAAAAAAAAAGAAAAAAACCACACAAATACGAGTAGCTGGTGATGTACAGCAGGAGTGGGTGCCTTTATTTTGAGAGCCACAAGGAGTTCATATTTGGGGTTATGCGGAAGCAGTGTAGCTGTTGACTCAGACCTTATTAACTTTCTTTTTTAAAAAAAACAGTATTCATGATAGTTACTATTGTTGAACACAAACTGTATGTTCAGTGCCATGAATATACTTTACATATAAAGTCTTCTTTGACCATGATAACAACCTTATGAGCTTATTTCCATTTCTCTAGATAAGGAAATAGGTTCATAAAGGTAGAATAATATGCCATAGATCACTTGTTTTTCAACTGTGAGTCATTAAATCAATTTAGTGAGTCCTGACCAGCATTTTAAAAAATGAAGCCAAATAAAATAATTCTGAGATCCAAGTGGCTAATAAACATATGAAAAGATGGAATTACCAGTTAAAAACCCAATGAAATACCAATATGCATCAATGAGATTGGCAACAATACCAAGAAATCTCAGTAACACCCACTGGTAGTGAAAGTGTAAACTGGAAAGGTCTGGACTTATCTGGTGAAGTTGTAACTGTTTATACACTTGGATAGAACAATTCTATTTCTAAATATATGCCCTTGAGAAGCCCCTGCATATGTGTATGAGGACACATGGATTGGGATTCCTAAATGAAAACAAGCCAAATGTTCATCAATAGTAAAATAGATATAAAAATGTGTTATATTCATATATGGAATTGCAAATAGAGATAAAAATAAAAAAATTAACATGTGCCTAATATTTAGTGAAAGGACTCAGATGCAAAAGTATACATGCTGTGTTGTATTTTATTTATCTGAAGTACAAAAACAGACCAAACTAACCTATAGTGTTTAAGGATAGGTGGTGAAACAACAGAGGAAAATAAGCAAATGATTAACACTAAAATCAAGGTAATGATTCCCTCTTGGGGATAGGAAGGCTGACAGGGTGGGGAGTTTCCAAACATCATCCAAGATTTTATGATGTTTCTATTCTCTACACTGTACATAAGTGTTTATATACTTTTAGGCCAATGCCATAAATTCACAATAAACTGAAGAGAAGAATATTAAGAAAGCAAATTATTAAAAGTATAATCTCATTAGAAATAGTCTGTTTAGCCAGTTTCTAATTAAATATCTCTATTTTTATAGGAATTTTTGTGATAGCATGGATAGTCCCTGCCTGGGAGTCATATATACCCTGACATAGGTTATTGTCCCTTTTATTTTCCTCCCACCAGTCCTTGTGCTCTGCTAAACTTAGACTTTCATCAGTCTAGCTTTCCAGGTGGGCATAAAAGAGAAAACAATACATACTCAATAGGAATCAGCACTGTGCCATGAAATTTGATTTCACCTATTCGTGTGTATATAGTAGATAAAAACAAAAATGTATTTATTAATGTCCCCCCCCCCAAATTAGAAACCACTGCCCTCAATCCCATAGTTAATAAAGAGGTAGCCTGTTCAACTCACATCATTATTTGTCTCAAACTGCATAGAAAGACTGAAATTCTTCCATCTGGTAGGAAGTCCCCTAAGTCCTCATCAGCAAATCTGCAAATACTAGTACATCCAAGTCTCCATTTTCCTTTTGCTTCCTCTAGCCGTGGGAGAACTCTCTATCAAACACCAAAATGTGCTTTGGGTTTCATCCCTTCTCAACTTCATGATAATTTCTCTTTTTTTCGTTATACCCTTTCTCTCCTATATCTTCAAGATCATGTAGTTTTTTCTACCATCATTCTGTGAATGTGGTGTATTACATAGACTGATTTTCATATGTTGAATCATCCTTGCATTCCAGGAATAAACCCCACTTGTTCATTGTATACAATGCTTTCCATATACTGCTGAATTCAGTCTGCTAGTATTTTTGTTGAGAATGACATCAACATTTTTGAAGAATATGATTTCATTTTTTAAAAATAGAAAATTGCCTGGCTGGCATGGCTCAATGGTTGAGCATTGAACTATGAACCAGGAGATCACGGTTTAATTCCCAGTCAGGGCACAAGTTGTAGTCTCGAGCCCCAGTATGGGGTGTGAAAGAGGCATCCAATCAGTGATTCTCTCAGCATTGATATTTCTATCTCTCTCTCCTTCCTTCCTCTCTGAAATCAATAAAAAGTATATTTTAAAAATAGAAAATTATTTTGGGTCTTTGTTTTTTTGTTTCTTAGCTTTTATTTTCTTTAAGGCCTTATCTGTTATATCTTTCATTCATTTGTGGGCTTTTTTAGTTGTCTCATTTCTGAAATCTTTTTCTTTTATCTATCATTTTTTCTTGAGAATATAGCACCTAATTCCTGAGTTTTCCTAATTCTGATTAACATGCTCTTATATCTTATATCACTTTTATGGATTTTAGCTTTCAGCTTATAATGTTAACCTATATTGCAGTAATATCTTTCTGGTGCTCAGTCCTTATCTGTAGGGATGTAATTATGCTGCTTAATCTGTTTGTTTTTTTTATATCAACATTAATATTTGATCCTTTGTTTTATTCATTTTTACTTGAAATTAATTTGCTTAACTTTTAGAATTATTTGCGGCTCAAAATAGTTCTAATTCTACAGCTCTGGAGTTCTCTGGTTAGTTGTATTTGTGCAGGCTTCCAAAATATTGGCGGCTTCTTTTCTGGAAGAAGCTTCTCTACCTGCTGTCTTCCTTCTATTCTGCTGTTTCTGTGCTGCTGAATTGGATTCTCCTGGCAGCAGTTTTCGGCATTGTGGGCCTTTGTCCTAGAAGTGAGATTTGACTAGTCATTGTGGGAATTCAGGGGGCCCAGACTTCTTTGGCCCTTCAGACTCAACTGCCAACTCTTTGTACTCACTCATTATTAGGAAGTGTGAAGCTCTCGGTTTCCGCTGAAAGTTTCCTGTGAGCACTTCTTGGCTCTGTTAGAGTTCTCAGTCTCGTGCCCTCTATAGATAATCGCTCCAGCTCTGTAATCTGCCCTCTCAGTTACCATTTCCCTCTTCAGAAAGTAGAAAGAAGAGAACATTTCCATTTTTAAAAACAGACTCTTAATTGGTAAGTACTATTTTTAACATGCTTTTAATGGGAGGAGGGCCGAATAAAATTACTTTCTGTTCAAAGAGTTCAGCCCACTTGTCCATATTCAAAATCCTGTATAATATATATTTTTTTAAATCATGAAAAGAGTAATAGGGCTTCCTTCTGCTGGCATTTATTTAGTTTTTGTTTGTTTGTTTTATGGGATACCCATTTTCTTGGGTTTTATGTTGCCCTCATTAAAATAACTTCATTATCTATTTAGCTGATGGTAAGAAGCCATTTTGAAGGAAACCTAGGGAAATTGAAGACTTTTAAAAATTAAAAGCTTGCCTGGAAAACTCATGAGGAAAATCTAAGATTCAGACTTTTAAAATTTGTTGATTGATTTTTAAAAAGAGAGGGCAAGCTGGGGGGAGAGACATCAACTTGTGTTCCATTTACAGTATTTATGCATTCATTGGTTGCTTTTTGTATGTGCCCTGACTGGGGATCGAACCCACAACTGATACCTGGACATGGCTCTAAGATACAGACTGTTTTTGTTTTTGTTTTTTAAATATATTTTATTGATTTTTTACAGAGAGGAAGGGAGAGAGATAGAGAGCTAGAAATGTCGATGAGAGAGAAACATCGATCAGGATGTGCCCACAGCCAATGTACATGCCCTTGACCAGAATCGAACCTGGAACCTTTAGTCCGCAGACCGATGCTCTA